TCTTGTCAGGTAAAACTTGTTCCTCTTCCATAACATCTTTTAAACACAGTCTATCTATAGATGCAGACACTCTTAAAATTAACTTTTGGGTCCATTGTTCACAAATATCCTTCAGTATGTCCAATGTTAAAATATTTTGCTTCATTAGTATTTGTAAGTCAAATTTAAGTGCTCTTTAATTGTACTCTTTAGTTCCTTCTAGTTCTCTCTGGTGTCCAACGTTTAAAGTCTTATCTTATGTTTTGTTTTAAAGAATTGAAAACAAAAGCATTTTCCCATGGGAAGGATTTTTTATAATTAATTCCAAAATTTTATTTCAAATTTATCTGGACCCTTGGTCCATTTGTAACTTTCTAAAATCAAAGTTTTAATCACTCTTTCGCTGTTTATTCCCCACCCCCCAAATTTTAAGTCCTTAAACTTATATTTAAAACTTCTTTCACTAAGGATTGAAGGAAACTCACCTAGTGCTGTAGTGTTGCTCCAAGGGTTCCTAATAGCTGAAAAGTAGTTAACAAGCAATTTCCGAAAGTGATTAGAAAAGAAAGTATGCAAAGCCAGTGTCCTTTTAAAGGTGCTGACTGCAGTTTGAGCAAGATGGCTATTCCCTTGTCTCCCAGAGCTCTAAACCCGCTGGAGACCTCTGTCTTGTGGTCTTCTCACAAGGAGCAACTGTCTGAAGCACTTGTGGGTGATCTCAAGTCCTCTCCTTGTCCGGCGAGGAATTATGAAAAGCTGGTCTACTCACCGACTCTTCATTCTGCCACGGTTGTCAGTGTCTTCAGTTCACCATTTCTTCCCTGGAAGTCATTTATAAAGTACTTGTCTGTGATTTTTAATGCTTTCAACTGAGATAGGTACAAAATGAAATAAAATAGGCAAATAAAAAAGGGTATTGTATGACAACTGGTGTCTTCAGAAATTTTTGATTTTGGTGCAGTAAGTGGGAGAAGGTATAAGATTGATTTAAGTGATGTTTCTATTTGAAATACTGAGCTTGACAGTTTTCTATTTTTCAGTGGTTGAGGGACTAGCCTTACTTGATTTGGGTGTATCTCCATATTCTGGAGATGTCTTTCATGAAGTAAGTATACAGTTTTTGTTGTGAACTGCTTTGATATCTTTACTCCTCTATAAAATTCCTTTCATATTAAAGACTAGAGTATAATTCTTTTCCATGCAAGAACACAAAATGGTATGTGAAGGGATCTGTAGGGTTCAACACAATTATATTGCCTTCTCACTTGAGCTGCTATGTGTACATAAGTGGTCACACAAGCAACCAGAACATTCAGGAGAATGTTCATATATTTGTACACTTGTGCATTTTTCCACAATGGAAATAACTCAAACTTGCGATGTCAAGTTACTTGTTAAAGTCTATTCTTTCCTACTTTAGGAATGTTTTTATAAAATGAAAAGGTATAAAATATTAATTAAAATGAATAAATAGATAAACTTCCAGAGTGCAGATGGTGAGTCAAATGGAAAGTGATACAGGAAGTACAAATATATCTCATGTTCTTGGCATAAGGAAAAAAGAAATAGGTCTTTTTTTTTTTCAGGGACCGGCTTCCCAGTTGTATAATTCATGCGGTTTTTAAAAATACAAAATCCTGTCTATACAGTGTCAGCTCAATAACCAAAAGCTTCATAGATATTTGTCAGAGTGTTGCAGGAAACCTAAATGGTGGATTATTGTTATGCATAAAGGAAAACTGAAATTAACATGACATCTAAAGTGAAGTGTTATGTTTGCTCTCTAGTTCAGCTCCGTTTATCACAAAAACCCATTAGTAGAGCTATTAAAATATGAATATTGTACAAAAGTGAGATTTCCCCCTTATGTGACTGAAGTTATCAAAACTACAATGTAAGCAATATTTTTTTGCAAGCCCATGCACATAGTTTTTGTGTGCCATGGTACAAACTAAGCTCAATCCCCTAAATCTCAAACTCTGTGTTGTGAATATTGCCTTTTCCTGCTCCAGTACTTTTTCTACTACATCAGTCTTAAACCTGTACGGTGAATTACACCTGAATTAATGATTCTGGGTATTCTCTGAAAAAAAATATACAGAAGACACTATAGAGCTATCATTTCTACCAATTAATAAATAAATAAGCTTTTGTCTAAAGACAGGTTGCTTAAGATAATTAATTTTCTTTGTTTTTCTTCTTAGACGCCTCTTATAATATACCTCTTTCATTTCCTGATTGATTATGCTGAACTGGTATTTATGGTATGTGATGTTTTAATTTTCTTTTTTTAAAAAATTTTTTTTTTTATTTTTTACAACAAACACAAAACATACATAAACAAACAAGAACATAGAAAGGCATAAAAAAAACATCTTCCATTTTATACCGTGTGTCAACCAGTTACCAACTCGTTCGTGCCACTTTCATAATCTTAAATTCTCATATAATCTATTCAAAATATACTTGTGTACTTATCAATTAACAATTATTAATCATTCATAGCTAGT